GAACGACAAAATTATTTTATATCTCTACCTGTGTGAGGTTTACATTCTGACGTCAAACACGCGATTCTACGCCAGAGTTAATGTTAAAATTACGATTCGGTCCCAGTGCTTAAAATCCCTCGATCCTTTATGGGTTGATTTGGCATACATAAATAAAATACAAAAATAAGTAAGCAATGAACGAGGTTGTTAAATGTGATATATGCTTTTTTGTGCTTCTTTGTTAAATATTTGTTTGTTTTTGTTGTGATTAAGATTGTGACACGGTGTTGACTGCTGTACCCCTATTTTAACATTTTTACCTATTATGTCTGTTTGTTTTATTCACGCATCGTTGTCAATATCATGGAATTTGATGCGACTGTCATACAAGTGAGAGGTTTATCGCTATAAAACCAGGTTCAATCCACCATTTTCTACATAAGAAAATGCCTGTACCAAGTCAGGAATATGACAGTTGTTGTCCATTCGTTTGATGTGTTTGTGCTTTTGCTTTTGCCATTTGATTAGGGACTTTCCGTTTTGAATTTCCTTGGAGTTCAGTATTTTTGTGACTTAACTTTTTACAGTACAGTACTACCTGTGTCATTATCTTACTAATGGTGGCCATAAAAAATATGGTCACCATGATGGCCCTTGATGTCCATCATTGTACCTCCTGTTGCTTAATTAATGCACAAGGTATTAAACTAGTCAAGGATAATGGGAAATCAGGACTGCATTGAAGTGTTAAAATTATATAACTTACAGGTAAAGTGTCTCAGGTAAAATATATGTGTTTGTCAAATTTAATAACTGTGATTATGGCAAGAAAATTCTAAAATAAAATGAAATAATAAAACTAGTTAAACATATAGCTTCCTAACTTTTTTTTGTAAAATTTTTCTCATGACTGTTTGTTTTGATATTATACCATGTATACCTTTTAAATAATTCTCTCAATTCAAGGTATTTAATACATGTATTTTTTGGCAAGTGAATAACAAATGAATATCATCTTCTAATATAATGCAAACTTTCACATCACCTGCCTTTTTCTATTGAAAAGGTGTTTCTCAAATTAATTTTCTAAAATCAAAATTGTTTATACTTACTGCATTCAACATTGTTTAACAAATGTTTAAGATTATCTTTAGGACTTATTCTAAATAAAATTTAGGCAATTCATTATTTCTCTATTGAATAAATACATGTATATCATTACAGAAAAATTTGATAATATTTTTATTGTCATATAAACATTTTACAATTTAATCAAGTTTCTGACAAAAAAACAAAAACAAACATTATAATGCAAAGAAATAACAATTCTATAAGAAATCAAAACACATGGAAAAAAATTATTAGGTTTCTGCCCTCAGTTCTAATGACTTTTTTTTATAAAGGAGCCAATATTTTAAACATGTTCCATGTTATAGAGGTTTAGCATTTCTTTTACTTTTTGTTCTTGGTTAAAATTTTATTCATAAGATTCAAGATTTTATTCATAAACTGGTCAGAGACATTATTATGAGAAGGTAAACAATTTTCAAATTGATTATCTCTAAGTTGTTATGTTTATTTTACAAACAATTCTATCCTTTATAGGAATTTTTATCCACCATCTTCTATATCTAAATATGACCAATAATTCTTTACTTAGTGAAGCTTTTGAGTTTACTGTTTTCATCATAAGTTTTTATTTTATTTTCAAAAATGTTTTTAATTTTTTTCTTAAATTTAATTTTTAATCAAGGACTTTAAAGAATCTAATTCATTCAAGTACCCTGCAATTATTAACTTTATCTAAAAGGCCAGAGTTGAGTGAAATATTTTTTGCAAATGTATACCAAGAATAAGTATCATGCATATGCCAGTCCTGCACTTTCCAACAATATAATACACAGAACAAAACGTGATTTAATTAACGGACCATAAAAATGTCACAATCTATATGGAAGTGTACTTTATTTTTTTCTGGAGACAAATTTTGCCTGTTAATTGACAAAATTAGCCAAACTGAAGATAACATACTTGATAAGTTTACAATTGTTTCAACAGAGACATATATATGTGTATATATGTCTCGGGTTTCAAAAAGCAAGACATTTTTTTCTTTAAATACAATTTCTTTTCATAAGATTTACTTTATTCAGAGATAAGAACATTTTTCATTATGATTAGCATTTATCCAAATTTGATAATAACTAGGTAGCCATTTGGGAAATTTAAGTCTCTTTAGTGGTTCTTCATGCACAACTCCAGTTTTGAGATTTGAAAAATATAAAAGATAAACAAAAATAGTTTATTCCTATACCATATAATGATATTTGTAGTTTTCCTGAATAATAATCATGATATTAGATTATACAACTTTGTTGACAAAATTTATTGTAAAAGAATTGATATTCATGATATTGATAATTTTAATTTGTTAAGAAACAGGCTTGTTAAATTACTTGCTTGATGGTTCCTTTAAACATCATTTTCATGATTATAAGTTATAATTAATAATAATTCATATTATAATGCAAACAAACAATAGAATTCCATGCACATCATGCATGTCATGTACAATAACTTTTTTTTATTGAAAAAAAAATTATTTAAAGAATTCTCTGTTTTGTTTTCAAATGCTAGTCAATAACTTATCTTTGAATTTTTGTCATTTTTACTCAAAATTCTTTCCAAGCAGAAATTAAGAGAATAAGAAGCAAAAATACAATTAAAAAATAAAAAATAACATAAAAAAATAAAAAAATAAAAACATTAGAAAAAAAAGAAAATATGTAAAATTAGACAGAAAAACCAACAAATGATATGAATTAAGTTCAATTAACAAAGACTAAAGCAACAATCTATTCTACATTTTCAAGAAAAGGTGAAATTTCAATTTGAGAAAAAACCTGAGATACCTGTACAGGTAAATTTTAATGAAACATACAAGCTGAAAACTTTAATGCTGATTGATTTCAACAGGTAACATAATTGATAAAACATCAACCTATGTTTTATGACCCCAATAAATGGCCAACATCTCAAGATTGAATACCCCAATAAATGGCCACCATTCGATGGTGACCATACAAGAGGGTGGACATAACTAAGAGGAAGTCACAGGTTGTACTGTACATTAAGATGTCGTGATCTTTTTTATTATTACTAATTTCTGACATATGTTAACAAAACTTAATTTATAACCTGTTGTGACACCAAGTTATTCTACATCTTTTTCACGCTCTATCTCATTTCCATTTAAACTAAATACAATAAATAATTTAGTTCCAATAGCAACAGTGTGTGATTTATCTGCATTAAATTGTTTTCAAACCAATCCAGTATTTTTAAACTATCACTCTCAAAATTTTCAATAAGTTTTCCAATGTCATTACTGGCATACGACAGAGAGTTAGCATTTGCCTTGTTGTACATAATACTATTATCTTCAACATAAAATTTCGTATATAAAAATACATAGAAGAATAGGGCTTACTATTGATCCTTGTGGCACTCCTTTATACATAGGTTCAAATGTATAACTTTTCAAACACTGTTTTTTTGCATGATAAGTTCATTTTTAATAAAGAAATAGATCTTTGTGACAGAACAAAAGCTTGTAATTTCAACAAAAGTAAAACATGTGGCAATCGATCGAAAGCTTTAGATCGAAATTGCAGCTACAAATTTATTTTCATTTACTGTCTTTTCTCTATAATGCAGTTTTGACACCCATGTCAAGCTTTAAGTGCTGACGACAAAGGATTAAAATGTTTATTGAAGAACTCAATTAACTTAACATTAAAAAAAATATTGATTTAGTAGGCGGTTCACTGACTGAACGGTAGTTCACTTTTTCTTGTTTATTATTTATCTTAAAAGAATGGTCTGACCTGTATCTCCTTTAGTTTTTTAAGGAAAAAAAGCTGGCTTAATAGATATGTAAATATTTGTTATTGGTGTAACAATCATAGACTTTTACAGTTATATATATTTTTGGGTGATATACCATCATATCCTGTAGCCTTTTTAATATTCATCTTTTATTTGTTTGCTGACAAATTCTTAACTGACAGGTTTGCAAATAAGATCTTCAGTTATTACCATTTTTTTGGCGGATTGAATAATTTGTTTTTCCTTCAGCGCTTACCAGGCCAGGCTATTCATTTTCAAAATCCTCTTGCCATCCTCTCAGAAAATCTAATGGTCGTCCCCTTATGAAGAATTGATACCTTGGATGGATTATTTACTATCTGTCCAGCTTCACACAGTGTTATGTTATAAGTGTTATATTGTTCGATTGCACACCTTTATTCGACAAAAATAATTGTATAAATTTTAAATTATTTTTTGACATACGGTTTTATTCGAATCCCGTATTCATCCCAGTTTGTTTTGTATCTATTTTTAAGAGACACTTTATTTAATATTCTACTTGCTGATTTCTAAAGGACTTTGCATACAGTTTTATTCATGATTGGAGTGGGGAATGGTGTTGGTTTCCTTTTTTCACAGGAATATGTTTGTTTACAATATGAAAACATGATCTTTTAAAATTTTCACAAAGTCTATCTATATTTTTAATCTCTGAGGCTGCTTCTAATTTTGCCGTTTTTACGTTAAAATTTTTGAAACTTCTTTAAGTTATAAAAACCAGTATTAGCTTAAAGTGTATGAACTTCAATATGTACAGATATTATATTGTCATAATCAATATACGATATTCAAATGATAAAATTTCAGTTTTGTATATCTTTTATCAGTATCTATGCAGAAATCTTAGAGTTGAGTTTATCTAAAATATATCTTTATCCCGTGAAAAGGTGGAACTTCCATTACAACTTAGTCAAGAACTAACCTTTGACACTATTTACCGAGAAACAACGTACAAGGAAGTCATACGCGTGACCACTTTGTTTTTTCACTTCTAGTTAAGTCGACATTATTGAAATCATCAAGTATTAGAAAAGAACAAGTGCCAGTTTCATGCTATTTTTGTAAAGGAAAAGAGATTACATGGAAATGTGACGATTGCAATGTTCGCATGTGTAACTCCTGTAAAGTTACCGTCCATCAAGGGCTTCTGTCTTCACAAGATCATGACGTCATTTCTATTCAGGATATCAGCAAGTCATCACCAGGATCCGAGGAGGTAACGTCTGTCGTTATTTCATCAGTTTTTAATTCATACTCAACTACTCATGCTGTTCATCAGTTACCTTGCGTGAATGACGATTTGCTTTACTTTTCCTCTTACCTTAAAGAATATGAGGAAAACAAATTTGTGAAAGGGAAACTTTTGAAATCATCAATAAACCTATTGCAGACGTTGAAGAAAAAAATATTCTACTTTGAAATAAAGAAAGACGGTGAAATACTTTTAAAAGAATTCGATGTCTTTAAAGGTATAAAACCACTAATTCATAATCCCATTGCTTTCTATGTTAAATTCTGCAATTTCAAGCATGAATGGCTACTTTGTCTCAAGTTCAAATACAATTTTATGTCAAAACTATACCTTATCCTGACTTGTGCTGAAAAATTCAACATACCTTTAATTGCATATTAAAGCGTACTGGTTCCCGGAAGTTTGATAGTACAAAAACAGGTACTTCAGTTCTGATCTGGACTACAGGGAAAATGTGACCTCCTATTATAATTTTATATATTTTTTTATTATTCAAAAGAAACTTTCAACCAGGGTTCTACAGTGATCCCAAGTCCCCAAGCTTTCATTTGATACCAGAACTATCCAAATATTTCACCTATTGACAAAGATACAGGTATGCGTAGGAACTATTTTGTTTAAAATATGTACTACTTTCTTGAATGTTCTTTCCGACCGGGCCCGTATTAGTGGTTCTTTACCTATAACAGCACCAAACTTGTTATATTGACTTCTGATTTACATAATTTTCTGCTATGATCTATTTCTAGCATCGAAAAACAAATAAAGCTTTTGGCAAAACACTATATCACTAAATTCAAGCTCAAATTGGACTGGTAGAAACATATTCGTTATACAAAGAAAACTCCATATGGATACTAATAGTGACAGATATGAGACTTTTTCAATATTTACCAGTTCTGATTTGTTAACATCTTCTCAAATAACAATGTTCTTACCTATATGTCTTTTTTTTATCAGAGATCGTTACTTGAATATAAATATAGTGGTCCAAATATAAAATATAATTGATAACTTTGTCCCCCCCCCCCTTTTTCTACATGTTGAAAAAGGAGAGTGATTTGGTAAAGCCATACTTTTATGTAAAAACATGGATCAACAAGAGCAATTTATGTATCTCCCAGCTAGACAACTTACTAAACTGGTTATAAATTGCATTTCAAGTGAGATTTTGAAATTCCAATATAAGTAACCACAAATTTCATTTGAAATAAATGATACACTAAGAAATCCTATAAAACTTGAACACCCACTATACAATTTGACTTAAAGCTATATTTATACTATAAACCAGTCATAATATACATGTGTCATTGGTTTCAGTTTAAGATAATGCACAAATTTAAACTTTAGGTAAAGTCTTAACTGTACGCATGCTAAATGACCTAATTTGACCCCAACATGATTGTTACATAAAAAAAATAATGTTACATGATTACTAACAACAAATGTGAACAATTTTCATTGATATGGGTATGATTTATAAAATTTGGATTTCACATGCCTTTCAGTAATAGGTATAAAACCACTAATTCATAACCCCATTACTTTCTATGTTAAATTCTGCAATTTCAAGCATTGATGGTTACTTTGCCTCAAGTTCAAATAAAATGGCAGCCATTTCATGTCAAAACTATACCTTATCCTGACTTTCACCTATTGACAAAGATACAGCTATGCATAGGAACTTTTTGTTTAAAATATGTACTACTTTCTTGAATGTGTTTTCCGACCGGGCCCGAATTAGTGGTTGTATACGAAAAAGGAATGTTGGGATTGATTTTGGGGGTTATGACCATAACGGTTTAGGAAAAAGGGGCCAAAAACAATACTTTTGTAATACTTTGTATAAATTGATTATTTCTTGACCAATTTCAATGGAATTTAATTCAAAGTCTTGAAGTCTTGGGGTTCTTTAATATGCTGAATCTAACTGTGTATTTTAAATTTGGGTTTTGGGCCCAGTTTTTGAATTGGGCCATATTAAGTTCTAAAGGGTCCAAAATTTAACTTTGTTTGATTTCATCAAAATTGAATTATTGGTGTTCTTTGATATGAAGAATCTAACCGTGTATTTAGATTTTTGATTTTCGGACCGGTTTTCAAATTGGTCTTCATTTAAGTTCAAAGAGTCCAAAATTAAACTTTGTTTGATTTTAACAATAATTGAATTCAAGGGGTTCTTTGATATGCTGAATCTAACATGTACTAAGGTTTTTGATTTTGGGCCCAGTTTTCAAGTTGTTCAAAATTGGGGTACAAAATTAAACTTTATTTGATTTTAACAAAAAATGAATATATGAAGTTTTTTGATATGCTGAATCTAACCATGTATTTAGATTTTTGATTTTAGGGTCTGTTATCAAATTGGATCACATTGAGGTCCAAAGGGTCCAAAATAAAACTATGTTTTGTTACATCAAAAATTAAAATTCTAGGGGTTCTATGATATGCTGAATCTAACCGTGTATTAGATTTTGGATATTGGACCATTAAAGTTAAAGTTCAATTTCAAAATTTTTAGTTCATTCACCACATTTATTCTGTATCAGAAACCTATAATGTGTCAAATATTTAATCACAATCCAAATTCAGAGCTGCATCAAGTTTGAATGTAGTGTCCATACTTGCCCCAACTGTTCAGGGTTCGACCTCTGCTGTCGTATCAAGCTGCGCCCTGCGGAGCATTTTTTATTAACTTATAACATGAATTCAAACAGACCTAGAAAAATCCAATTGCAGGTGGTCGCAATCTATTTATATTTATGTTTATGTTTATATCGGGTTATGTGACCGTCGGTAGTCTTCGGAGGTCATCTGACAGCTAATGCCCCTTTAATTTAAATCCTACATTCCTATAGCATGTATAGTGTTTGTTTGTTTTAAATATGAATATCATGGATCGATTGCTTTTCAGTGACAGTATTACTGTTTACACACATCATGAATATTGTTTGTTTACAAGATTTCTGAATGGCTCATTTGTTAATAAATTCTTTGCTTTTGTAAGTATTTAAACAAAAATGACACAATAACTTTCGTTGAAATATTTTGATATGAAATGTGTCCAATATAAACAACATGAACAATGGACAACTTGTAATTTAGTCACATACTTGATGCCATAATTCTGTACTTCAGGGATTCTAATTTCTGTATACCTTGCCTGAAGACGCCGATCTAATCAGTTAAACCTGTCGACCAATAAAAGCAATTTACTTAAGTATTGTCAATTAAGCAGTATTTAAGCAGTATTTAATAAATTTGTATTCAATAACCCTGCATACCATCCATATCCACTTGAGGGAACTCTACCAACAGCAAATTTAGGGGCGTTAGGTCAGCATTTCTTTATTTCTTCCAATCTAAAAACTATAAGCCCACAGTTTAAATTATCTTAATTCAGTAATCACAGTATACAGAATAGTAATTTTTCAGTTACTCAAGCAATTATTTATCTTGAATAGAAAACATAATTTTTATTTCTTTAAAACTGACTGTACCATAAAATATATTTTAAGGTTCAGTGGTTTTGGAGAGCTTTGAGATCTTTTGATCAAGCAGACAGAGCCCAATTCTTACAATTTGTAACTGGTACTTCAAAAGAACTGGTACTTCAAAAGTTCCTTTGCAAGGCTTTGGTCTCTTGGAAGGAATGAATGGATACCAAAAGTTCCAAATCCACAGAGATGACAGCTCATACTTGGTAGGTTTGAAGTAACTATATCAATTCTGTCAGATCATTACTGACATTAAGGGATGTATATGAACAGGGACCGAGTAGCCTGCAGTTCATAAAATTTGATAGGAAAATCTAAAAATTTGTTAACCAGGTACAGAGGTGGCCCTTAGAGATGTGTCAAATTTTGTATGCCCCCGCCGTGGCGGAGGGGGCAATAAGTTTTACCCTTGCCCGTCTGTACGTCCGTACGTTTACGATTATGAATCTTATAGACAATGCTTATTACCACAAAACACAGATCAAGTTTGAATTTCGGTGATGTCACTTTTACCATTCTAGAGTTGTGACCCTTTGTAAATGGAAAAATTGCTGAATTTTTCGTTTCCGTTCTTTAACTTAAGTTTGCCTTAACCAAATGTTATGAAACTTATACACAATGCTTATTATCACAAATCTCAGATCTAGTACGAAGATTATAAGGTCCAAAATAAATGTAATTTAGTAACACAAGTTGCCATTACTTTAAAGGGGGCCTCGGTGGCCAAGTGCTCTAAGTAGTTACTACTGTAATCACTAGCCAGTCAACACTGAGGTTGTGAGTTCGAACCCCGCTCGTGCGGTTGCACTCGACTTCAATCTTAATTGACTAGGATTGTCAGTTTTCCTATCGAAGGTCGGTGGTTTTCTCCGGGCACTCCGGCTTCCTCCACCAATAAAAACTGGTCACCACTTTAAAACCATTTGATTTTGTATTTGCTTAAGCATAAGTAGTGAAAAAGTTATATTGTTATAGTTGTAAGTAATTTTATGTTATACCTTATAAATGCTATATGTAAACAGTTTAAAACAACATGGCTGAGTTGTTATAATTTGATTAACTTATCAGGTTCTTCTCTTGAATATATTTATTGAAATGTGCTTATAGATCTGACAATAATGTTTTCAGTTGCAAACACGTAAATTAAAAATTGTGATTTAATGGATAAGTTTCTTTTAAAATAAATGTTATCAGTGTTTTGTTTTGCTTTTTGTTTGTTTGTTTTTCTTTTCTTTTCAATTGATGAAATGCAATAACTAGTTACCTCTTGTATTACAAAATTTAAAAGAAAATATGTTTTCTTTTGTTTTACAGTTTTAACCAGTTAGATCTACCTGCCTATGAAACATACGACAAACTAAGAAAGATGCTATTGTTGGCAATTAATGAATGTTCTGAAGGATTTGGTCTGGCGTAGAGGACAATAAATGTCCCCTAAAGAT